TCTAGTTGTTCATCTCATCGCACCGATCATCGCACCGCCGATCTACTCACAGGTAAACTCTCTCTCAATCTCTCTCTCTCTCTCTCTCGCCCCGATCGTTGTTTTTTTTGTTTTATATATATATATATCAGATATCTCTCTGATCTAATCTGTCTCCCTCACTCTCTCATCTCATCAGTCTCACTCTCTGGTTTTGCATCTCTGCACCGATTGACTCACAGGTAAGCCTCTCTCTCTCTCTCTCTCTCTCCCCCTGATCTCTCATCTCTGCACCGATCGAACAGATCTGTTCTATTTGTTTGTTTTGGACCAACAGGTCTGTTTTGTTTGTTTTGGAATCTGTGTGTTTGTTTTGTTTTGGAATCTAATCTGTTCTGTTTATTTTATTCTGCACCAATCACTCTCTGTGTGTTTGTTCTTAAGGAATTTGCTGAATCTGTGTGTATGTATGTTAATCAGATTCATGTTGATTTTGTTGAATTTGTTCTTAAGAAATTTGTGTATGTATGTATGTATGTTAAGAAATTTGTTTGAATTTGTTCTTAAGAATTTTTGTTGAATCTGTGTATGTATCTACTTTCTTTTCTAGATTGGAATCCGACTAAATTGCCCATGGCCTGAGTTGAGGAGGTATGGGTCTCAAAAGTAGCTACTTTCTTTTCTCCAAGGTAACACTGTACTTCACTGAAATTTTTACATGTTGAAGTTGTTTATGTATTATTTGTTGAACATGGAGTGAAAGCATTTGTTGGGTAAATCTTACTGAGCAGTTAATTGATTTTACAACTGTTTTTACTGTGACAGAGAAATATGAACCTGTTCATGCAAAGTGGACAACAGAACGATGTGCTATATGTAGATGGGTTGAGGATTGGGACTATAACAATATTGTAATTTGCAACAGGTGTTACTATTCTTCATGAATCTTTATGCTTAATCATCACATTTTATGCATTTGAATTACAATTTATTTGCTGAGATAAGATAGCACCTGATTTAGGAACTCTAGTAGAATCATCTGAGTCAATTTTATTTTTCATATATATGATTTTCATTCAAAGATGATAAACATTAATTTTTTAGGTTTAAAGTAGGAGGGATTAATATGTATAAATTTATGTTGTATCCAAATTTATTTTTTCAAACTTATTATGTGTGTGTCCACCTAGGTGTCCAAAGTGTGCCTGGGTCAATTGGTGGGGGGTTACTTTCTAAATTATGTTTCTACCTCACTTGAATTTGCTTAACTGTAATTTGTTGTGGAATGGACTTATGAATTGATATAATATTTCCTTTTTAGAGCCCTCATTTCCATGTGCTTCTTTTTTTGTATTAATAAATCTAAACTTTTGTTTGTTTTTCTCTTTGAAGTTACGATATCCTTTAAATCATTCAAGAGGATAAAGGTTCAGGTTGTTTTTTCTTTTTCCAATTGTTTAAGCTCCCTTATTGGGCCCATATCTAGTATTCTTTTCCTGATGTCAGAATATTTGTTTTTGTAGGATTATGGGGGGTCAATAAAGAGGTGGTCCCTAAGAAGAAAAATATTAACGATGCAGGAAGCCAACTTGCCCCCCCATTAGGAGAATTGATGAAGATGCTCTTTAATGCATACAGGTTATAACATATTTACTATTTATTCAATTTACTCTGCATTTTAATTTTTAGAGAATGTCTTTGCAAGAACTTTTTAACTATTGCAGAGCTGCAATGATGGAATTTGAGATCAATATGTCGGAAATGCCACTTGAAAAACTGAGTAAAAGTAATATCCAAAAAGATACTTTGCTCTAGACTCTACTTCTCTTTTAGTAAATCTAAACAATGCCTTTAGTGGAGATGCAGAAGTGATATCATTGTCGTGTTGTCATACTTGTTTGTTTATTTAGCTGATGAAGTTATAATTTCTAATGTGCTTCCTTAATATCTTCTCCAGGTCTTCCTTAATATCGTACTCCTCGCCACTAGGTTGATTTCCATAACTGATTGATTCCTTAATATCTAATGTGTTGTCATACTTTTTTTTTTCATTTTTTATTGTAACTATATCTTATGTTTGCACTCAGTCAAGCTCTCACAGCAGCTTGTTGAATTAGATTCTCAAGTTTTAGACCAAGTTAGGAAATGGGTCTTCAATATGCAGAATGCCAAATTGACTCTTTTTCATATGATTAAACTAACCAACACATTCAAATAAAGTACAAGAATTGGGAGTAGCATTAAAATTGTCTTCAATCACCTAGTTCCAACCTAAATATGAATTAAAATATATGGGGATCATGAGACGAATGGAATTTAACCAGAACAATATCTCATCAATAAATGCTACAAACAACACAATGGTGAGATATAATCCAATTTTTGATGACATGTTCCATGGGCTTGGCTAATTATGCAGTGGTTTGATTTGCTATTAATTTTATCTCTCTAATGATTCTTCATTAATGTCTATCTCTCAATAAAATCACAATACTGCTGTAACAGAGTTACAAGCTGTGTACATATATTGGTGGACCATGTTCAATTGTTGAAAGCAGATTGAAACAGATTTCAAAACATCCAAGTTCCATTGTTTCTGATAAATTTGTCACTTGAGCATAGAATTCAAACACTTGGGCAAAAAAATTAACAATCCACATATCAAACAAACAATCCACCTAAAAATGATCCAAATTCAGAGTTTATGATCTAAATTTTCTAAATAATATAGACCATAGATAATGAACCCCAACAAAATACTAAACCAGATGAATTAAGCAAATGGCATTACTAATCATAAAAAAATAAATGAAAACTGGGAAGAGTGGGCATGGTGCAAGAAGCGACGGGCTTGGGTGCCTTCTCGACCTCGACAAGGCCACGTACGCAGTTTTCCGGCAATGGAGAAGGCGGCTGGGTAGCAGAATCTGGGAATTATCCAAAAAAAAAACTACAAATCAAACTCCTACTATTAATATACCATTTTAGAAACCCATTCAAAAACATTATAGAAGATTAAGGGAGATAGATAGCGTCTAGAAATTGGGAGAGAGAGAGAGAGAGAGAAGGCGAGAGAGAAGAGAGAGAGAAACACTACTACAAATATAGATAAAGATCACATTTTTTTTGTGTGATTATGTTTTTAATCACATTTTAAAATTTTATTAAAATGTATCTGGGGAGTGTGATTAAAAATGGGTTCATTTTTTTAATTCCACTTTTTTATAAGTTTCATTAAAAATGATTTTCATCACATCTTTTAAGTGTGATAATAATATTTAGATCATATCTTTTAAGTGTGATTATAATATTTAGAAATACATCTTTAAGTGTGATTAAAAACATTAGATCACATCTTTTAAGTGTGATTAATAAACTAAATAAAACCTGTGATAAAAAAAAAGAATTCAACTATTTTAAGAATATCAATAATTAACTTTGTACGCACGGTTGAATAATATAATACACACTATAAACTATATATATTTCGAATCACAACCATATATTGAATGAAATAACATCATCATATATAAATAAAAATTAAATATTAAAAGTATATCAAAGGAATTAATAAAAGTTCTTTTTACTATGATTACAATATTAT